TGTGCATCATTTAAATCTCGCACGCAGGATTAGTAATGTCCCCTTCACCCGGCATTACCTCACACCCATGCAGAGTCAACAGCCACGCTGACGAGTGTCAAAAACAAATGGAGTGTATGAAGAAAAGGGGGCGTTACCATGGGTGGGATTTCAGTGATCCCTGATCATTTAAGACTGATCTCACAGCATGCACTGTCTAATTCGAAAAGCACTCACTCATACATGCTCTCTCATTCAGTGTCTCAGAGTAATATTCTGTCATTAGGTAAACTGCAGTCTCTCAGATCTTTAGAGATTTGCAGTGTCTCCTTATGACTGACAGCTCAGCAGATACAGAACTCACATCAGACAGCGGAAGAAAAGCTATGAATGATCATGGCTCAGAAACTGTCTATACTGTTTGAAACGACCAGAATGGCTTTCTTGAAGCCTCCATGAGTGATGACAATCCAGATCCAGGTTTTTATTATTTGATATATTCATATTTTGCATCAAGAAAATTAATGAATTTTAAGATTCTGAAAAAAACAACATGAGCAACAACCGAAGATCTTTTCATCAAACACTACCATGTATAAATAGTTTTACACAATAAATAAAATATCATTATTTTTTGCATTACAGTAATACGAATGATATTTCCTTGCATTTATGGTCCTAAAAACAAGCTTATCATATCATCATATCCTATGAGCAATAACCAAAAATCCTTTGGCTTGTAGTTGAAACTGTACTTGAAAAGGGGATTTTAACAGATTTTCAACTAATGCAAAGATTGTGTTTTTACACAAGTAAACACAAGTCACAAAAACTCTGAAAATCATGCAGACTCTAATAGTAGACATGCGACAAGTAACTCTGAGCTGTTGCCATGTTTGATGACACAGTCCAAAAGCTGTGTGAGTCTCACACTGACACCTGCAGTTCCCTCTTCTGCTTTTGAGTTACTCACATCAGGGTGTGAAATACAGAGGGCTCTGACTCCCCCAATTAAGGCTTGAACTCCCCAGGAAGTCAAAACAAAAGGTTTGGGTGGTGGGAGTCTAGCCTTCAGAAAATTACACATTCAGAAATGGGGTTCGTCTGAGGAGGTTGCTATAGCAACAGTACACTTTCTGTTTGGATCATTATCCAGAACCCAGATCACCTCTATCATCATCATCATCACTATGAGCTCCACGTGCAATTAAACTCCCTATCAAAGCTGCACATGAAGACTTTATCAAAACACTTCCAGTCTGTCTTACAAACTCCAGCGGTTAGGCTAATGCATTTTTAAGACGGCTTGCTTGAAGGATCATTACATTTATGTACTCTATAAATTTATGTAGATAGCAATTCCAATAATTTGATGAGAAATTATCACAGCAGGTTGTAATTGTATACTGGAAAATCTGAGAGAACAGTTTGAGAGACTGTTGAGATATATAGAAGTTTAATTACACCATGGGATATTAAATAAAAAAGGCAATTTGACTTTGAATTTTTTTTTATTCTCACATTTTTTGTATCATGCAGTTCTGTGTTTATATCTCACAATTCTGACTTTTTTCTCAGATTTGCAAGATGTGAACTCAGAACTGCATGATATAAACACACAACTGCAATAAAAAAAAGTCATAATTGTGAGAAAAGTCACAATTACCTTTTTCAGTCTGTGGTGAGATAGGCTTCTATAAGATACTGAACAGGAGAAATTGCAGGAGATTTTTCTCAGGATTCAATCAGAGAAGCAGACGTCTCCATTTGCTCTTCATTCTCTTTGCTGTCTAGGAGAAACAATAGAGATAGCAGAGATTACATTAACCTTTTATAAATCAAAAAAGACACAAAAACAATTAAATCTGACAAGACAGTTTGGGAAAAGAGCAGCAGGTCCAACACTAAAGGCGGTTCTGCTGTTGTAGTGCTTTTCAATGCTGTCCATCCTCTTGTTTTTTCTCAATGGAGCAGATGGGCATTCAGCCCTCACTGAAATACTGGGACAGATGTTTCAGTAAGACA